TGAAAAGTTTACCAACTGCAAGGAACGACGCCAAACGTTTCATCATTGAAGTCAATTCACTGAAAAGGCAGAATGTTAATATCCAGACATGCCATCCGTTATTGCCATGTGTAGGGTCAGAATGCAGTCTTCGTTCCATCCATGATCCATCATTGTATTCGCTTTGATTTTAAACTTAAGATGGAGCAAGTCTCGGAAAAGTTTCCTTGAAAATATGATGAATTTACTTGGCGTTTTCTTTGATTTTACATTCTTGATGATCTTGCAATTTAAGCAGGCTAATAATAAATGGACTATAATCTCAATTCGTAAAATCTTCTAGAATAATATTTTGTCAAGCTAAAAATTCCACATAAGGTTTTATCTTGATTACAGTGAAGTAATATTATCTTCTCATATTCCAGCTTGTAAAGAATGTTGCATAATAATGAAGAAATGAGTAATTTATTCTCACTTCTCTGTTCATCCGTTTATAAACTTTTAGCAACAGACGAATGTAGACTGTGCAATATGCCTCTTAGATACACTGCTCACGCAGCTTCAGATGGAGGTACTTGAGAAACCTTCGCGGGAAAAAATTCACTTAAAAAGCTTACCATTCAAAGCACGATTAAGAAGCCACTCCTTAATATTGATACTGAAATTTCACGGCCAGAAAGTCACAAAATTTCAGTCCGTTTTAAATTTGGCTGCTCAGAACTCATCCATTTAGGTTAAATCTGAAGTTTCGTAGCTCTAAGTACGTTGGTTTTCTGAAATCGTTAATTTCGACTTCCGGTCTTTTCATGTTTGTAATAATTACTGCTTCATAAGCGATGGAATAATGAAGTCATTAAAGTCACAGTTGTGATCATATTCGACAACGCTTTTTTAGCAATTGTACTGCGCTTTTGCTTGCAAAAAATTCTTGAATCATACACGTTACAAAAAATGGGTTCGCAGATCGGGAAATATTTTTGCGCGCCTCAGTGAATTTTATTCTATAGGCTGCGAAAATAATGAATTCAAGCACAAAACTGTTTCGTACTGGGTACAATCAGGCTGGAATTCTAGGAGTAGTAATTTAAGTGTCAAATGTCAATCCAGCTGGGTCGTTTGCTTGGTCCAGAAATGTCAGACGAGACTGAATTTTCAGTTCAGTTGTAACGATCCAATACGCTATGTGCACCAGTTCATACGTCACCACTTCAAAGTTTTGCTCTGGTAGCAATATAAATAAACTCGCGTCTCGGAAAGAGGCTATCACACCGGTGCCAGAGTATGGCAGCCTGACATGAATTGTACAATGCATTGTACGATGTAATTGTATCACAATTCAGTAGTTTCGGCAGTTTTCGGTAGTTACGATAATCAATGCATTGTGGAAAATATTCAAGCACTGTATTTAGAAGTATAGATGTTTCCTCGACATTATTCTTTCGCTCTTTATTAGCAATTATTAATTTTTTTATATTTTTCATTGATAATGATATTTTTAACTTGACCAACATACGTACGAAGATTGGGTGTGCGTCCAACAAAAAAAATTATTAGTGGAGCATCGATGTTTATTGGTGGCTATGGGTGGAAATTATAGATGGAGCAGCGATGGCGCATCGATGCGGTATCGATGGCGTGTCCGGCCTATGTTCCGCCTATAACCAGCCGATGGCCATTTTACCCGAAAAACTCTTCTTCTACCAATAACTACCTATAGGCACCGATGGCGCATCTTTTGATCGTCTCCATCAACGATGGCCCAATGGAGACGATCAAAAATTTCCCTTCAGTTTCAAATCCAATGCATTCTTATTTATTGATATTGCTTCACGCGATCACATATTCTGAGGACTACGCACCATGGCAGCGCAAGATACAATGTCAGACAGGTAGCAGGTAGCAGGAACAAATTATCATAGTACCAGACACATACCTCGTGAGAAATAGACTCAAAGAAAAGCCTCTGTCGGCAGGATTTGAACTCCGATCACCCTTGTGCGAAGCCAAGGAAAGATCCAAGTATCCTCATGCGAGTATACAACACCACTACAAGGTCCCAGGGGGATTCCTGGAACTTGAAACAAGAACTAACACCAGAGACCTCAGTCATGCTGAAATTTTCTAAGCATGTTGAAACGAAAGCTGATACATCCAACAATCTTCTTCACTGTTAGAAAAACCACAGTAAAGACGTTCCCACAGGCATTACAGTGGCCGGTAACTTACCGTTAAATTAAACGCTTGGAACGTTTCACCAGGAGAAAACGCTATATATATATAGCTAAAGAAAAAGACATATAAATACAAAAACGGGGAAAACCGTTTTCTCCAGGTGAAACGTTCCCAGCGTTTAATTTAACGGAAGTTACCGGCCACTGTAATGCAGGTGCCAACGTTTTTTACGGTGGTTTTTCTAACAGTGAAGAAGATTGTTCGATGAATTAGTTTGCTTTTCAACATGCATAGAAAATTTCAGCATGACCGAGGCCTCTGGTGTTGGTTCTTGTTTCAAGTTCTATGAATCCCCATGGGCATTAGAGAGCGTCTCGGTCACAAATAAAAAATTTTAGCTTCTCCGGTTTTTATAGTATCTTTTTAAAGCTCCAGAAAATGCGCATCTAAAGAGACCAAAGTCATGTTTGTGCGTTCGTTTGTTCGTTCATGACAGCCGTCGAAGCGCAAGTAAAACATATACCTTTAATTAATGATGAAAAATTTCAGTTTTTTGGCTCTCCTGAAAAGTTAAAATTTCCTCCTTTGATTTTCATACTACAGCATTGAGAGTTCGGTTCAGCACAATTCGATTTGTAAAGAAAAGATCTAGAGAATGGTCGTAGTTTTTCCGCAATTTCGTTATAGTTTGGATTATATTTTGCAAAAGAGGGGAGGGGAGGGGGAAAATCGAAAAACGGACGAAAAATTCCCCCCCTCCCACCCACAGAAATAATATTTTTTTAAAAATGCTACGATGTCGCTAGATATGGTCTTTACGCATCGAATGATATGTATTTCGATGTTGTAGCTTGAAAATCCTAGGAGGAAATAGATTTATACAGTCCCCACTTTTTTGCAATTCTCTATGAATTTCAACGTTTTCTTTCGAAAAATGTACATGAACAAAAAGTCTTAGATTTCTGTTTTACACATGTGCACCAAGTTTCTAAGTGATCCGTCCGTAAATGAAACATCCGAGACGCTCCCATTCAAACGAACTGAAACGAACTTTATTTCGGCTTTTGACTTACAGATTTCATATGAAATGAAAATCAATGTCGCAAACCCTGGAAACACTCAATAAGGACAAGGTTCAGCATTTATCTTGGCTGAAGACAATTTTAATGTAATAATGGAAAATTTTATTTCAATATAAAAATATTCCTCGCAAAGAAATTATTAAACGTACCTCGGGAGTGAGTGAAACTGAAGTGAGGACAGCCCGTGACCGGACTGAACATGTGAATGCACCTGGTAGGGAACGGACCGTAACTAGCATATGCCTGACACATGGCCAGTAGTATGGTGGGAACACTGTTAGAAAATCGACCGTAAAAAAAAACGTTCACACCGGCGTTACAGTGGCCGGTTATTTACCGTTAATTTAAACGGCGGGAACGTTTTCCTGCACGAAAACGGTACGGCCGTTTTTGTACTTTACGGCTTCCTACAGTTTCTTTCATCCAGAATATTATAATCCGACATAGCGAGACATAAGAAGACATAACGAGACATAAGAAGACATAGCGAGACATAAGACATAGCGAGACATAAGAAGATATAGCGAGACATAATGAGACATAGCGAGACATAAGGAGACATAGCGAGACATAAGGAGACATAGCGAGACATGAAAAGATATGAGAAGACAGCGAGACATAAGGAGACATAGCAAGACATAATGAGACATAGCGAGACATAAGGACACATAGCGAGACATAACGAGATATGAAGAGATATAAGAAGACAGCGAGACATAAGGAGACATAGCAAGACATAATGAGACACAGCGAGACATAAGGACACATAGCGAGACATAAGGAGACATGAAGAGATATAAGAAGACATGATAAGGATAGAAATTCATAAAAATTGGGAATATATGTAGAACCGTTGAAGATTTCATAAGCCGACGGTTTGAAAACAAGCGGGTATACGACGCCCCGCGCGGGTAGCGAATGGGGCTATAAAAGGAGGGAGGTAGTAGGAGAAGCAGCGCAGAGTGAAACGGCCAGCGTGCCGAGTAACATCGTTTTGTGAGTGGAGAGCCGTCTCCTGTAGTAGTGTCACCAAGCTGTTGTTCAATACAGTGTAAGAGCACTAGCTGCGACGATCCAAATGTTTTGAAATAGTCGACGTTTGTATCGATAATTGCGGGCAACGAAGCATTCAACGACTGGGAAGATCGAAGCCCTCGTATTTGAATCTACAACTATTTGAGCACCACGTTTATTGACGAAGATAGTATTCTTGAAATCAACGTCTACGAACTCCTGAAATCAACGTCTTCACGGCCCACTATAGCCCTCACGAAATTCGGGTAGTCATCGAGGAACGCTACGNCACAGTACAGGGTTGTACCTGTCTCTTATACACATCTAGATGTGTATAAGAGACAGATGTAGTTGTATGGTGTATTATCTTTCACAATCACTTCAGCAATCATACGATGCAAGTTCTTTTTTCGACAATAAGAGAAGATTTCATGCGGAATATGCTCTGTCTCTTATACACATCTAGATGTGTATAAGAGACGGCCTGAGGCCTTAGTATGATCAATGTATCATAAACAGTAGATTGGATGAGCACATTTGAGAGAGCTATTGCCACAATTAACAGTGAAATCAGCCACTCGATTCGTTTTATCAATATTTGAATCCATTAAATGCCTATCTTGTTCAATTTGGAGATTATGTCCAAATGAATAAAGTTTAAAATGCCTGAAATTGGCTTTAAAAATACATTAAAATGCATTATTGAAGCGGAAACTGCCGAGCATCAATATACAGAAGGAATCACAAACCTCTTCAGATACCACAGCTGCGCTGACTGCCTTCGGTTATTCGTTGTCTGAGGCATAGTGGGAAGCGAGAAGCGTCACCAGTCCGTCCACGAGGCACGACACCTCGCATTTGCTCACGGAACGACAGCGCTGCTCTGCGTGCTCTAATGGCGGTCCTGAAGAAGGAAAATTTGGAGTTAATACAATCAACCTCTGTTTTAATCATCAACGTACAAGATTATTCAAATATTGAAGCAGAATCAAGTCGACAGTTCACTATCATTTTTTTTTCTCAGAGCTCAACTGGTTTTCAGTGAATAGTGTCAATAAATTAGCGACATTTTTGACAATGTGCCGAATATAAATCATGACAAAAAAAACATTGGTCGTATAGCCTCTTTCATGGAAAGCTCACATGATGAGTCAGCTCCTTCACCTCTACGTCTATGGAGTCCTGTCACAGGACCCTGGATGGCCATGATGATGCAGAGAAGTGCAGTAAGTACTGCAATACTCTTTTTAGGGGATCTTCTGTCTCCACGCCCATGGCTGGCTCTGCAGGCGATTCAGCTGGAAAATAATTATTGTGTTGTAAATAATTATGAAAACTCTAATGCCAAAATACAAAATTTGTAATTTAATTGAAAAGTTATAAAACTAACTGCACTGTTAGAGAGGTTTGATTAAGCAAGCATTGCTAGAAAATACAATCACAATGCAATTCACCTAAGTTTTCAAGTGACAGCATATTCTATGGATAGAGCATTGCATAAAATAATATAAAAACTTGAATTGTACAAAGTAATCATTGCTCATGCACTTAATTGTTTAAGAAGACTCTTCCAGACTCTTGGATGTTTCTCAGCACTTCTAATGTCTGGACTTTTAGGCGGAAATGCTCATGGGTGCTTCTTAATTCGAGCCTACGTGCATTTCTTTTTCATTATGGACCATTCCTTGATGATTTTTTATGTAAAGTTGAAAAATTATTTGTCTAATTGGCAAATAAATTTCTTAATTAGTTTTTTAAATTGAAATGAGGGAGAAATGACAGTAACAGCAATGATTCTGTGGCTTGAAATGATACAATAAAATGTTGTGACATAAATTAACAATGCAGACTTGTGATGAGATGCATCAAATGCAGGTATTTATACAAGAAAAGAACTGTCCTCAAATGAGGCACTTGAGAAACTGGAGAGCTGGGGCTAATTCAGATACATAAAATCATGCTTATGTTTTTCTGATTTGATTGGGAGCACAAAACTAATAGAATTAATATTTATTTGTGAAACAGCAATAAATATACCAAGCAAATATTATTACAGTCTTTTACAGATATATTTGTGCAGTGAAGAACTAAACAGAATTTTTAAAAACTAACTCAACTTGCTTGATGGATTTTGTTTGCATGAATTTCATTTGCCAAAACTTCAGCCATTATCACACAATTTGTATCTTATCCTCATAATTATCCCATTGCCAATTTCTAGATATATCTACTCTAGTATTTAAAATACTGGTATCACATTTTAGATCAACATGTCAGATGCTCATGAACAAACTGATATCACCCTTCCATTTTATGCAGCATTCAGCATTATTACAATTTCAGTTGTATCATGCTAAAATTGCTTATATTATATTATTATTAAAAATGAAGATTTATTTGGGAATAATAATTTAGATAAATACCATCTCTTAATTGTTTGGAGCTTTGAATTTTGCTGTATTATAAATTGGCCCACCAGCCCTACCTGAGACCTTGAAGGTGAGAGGCTACTTTAGTCAAATATAGAAGCGTTGAATGTATTTCTTCATTAATTTTAATAAATTAATCTTCTAATAAAGCAATAAGTTATTCAATCACTATATAAAGCAATACATTTTTCAGTCACAAAAAAAAAACTGACTGAAAGTAGCTTTTTGTGACTGAATAAAGTATTGCTTTATTTAGTGACAAAATAAGGAATTGCTTTATTAAAAGACTAGTTGATTAGTGAATAAGTAATTTGTTATTATTAATATAGCACTACATTCAACACTTCTATACATGACTGAAGTAGCATCTCTCCTCCTGTCTCAGGTAAGCACGTAGGGCCCGAAGGGGGAATTTGGGCAGAAGCAGCCTGTGAATTGGACAAGAAAGCCTGTGGATCTGGCCAATTTTACCCATCCCTATGACATTTTCCTATTTTCTTTGGTGAAAAATCAGAAAAGTGGTTCAACTTATCCAGCAGCTTTCAATAATAACCAGTGAAACAATTGTTTTCAGCTGCAATTTTTGAAAACTTCTGTGGGTGAAGTTCTGCCCAATATTCCAAATTGGAGTAGGGCTGGTGAGTCAATTGATGGTACGTCAAAAGTCAAAGCTCTGAACAATTGATATAAAATATTAATGTAAATTATTATTTCCAACTGAACCTTTATTGTTACTAATATTAGTAATTTTAGCATGTTATTATGATAATAAAAGGCCCATAGGGTAACAATACTGAATGCTTCATTTATTGAAGATTTGAAGAGTGAACAAAATTTGTTTCAAGTCAGCCAAGTTGCCAACATTGTGACATAGGTAACCTGTGATTTTAATTTGGAGTATTAACAAAGTAAGTAAGTAAGTGTAAGTAACAAAGTAGAAATGTTAAAAAAATGGTGGTGGGCTAACAATGGTGATAAGATTCAAATTTCAAGTTGTACAATAATCTGCTGAAGTTTTGGCATATAAAATTGATGTAAACAAAACATATCAAACAAGTCAAGTTAGTTAGTTCACTGGTTAACTGTAAAAGAGACTAATAATCAGAGTGGAACTCTAGGGTTGATGCGCCGTCTAGCTATATGTATATTCAATATTTCAAGAAACTGGCACACTTGTTTAACCAAAATGTCAGCAAGGTTTTAAAAGGAGGCTTCAGTTGCAAAAATTCCTATATAATATGATATTCGGACCTGCTCATTTATTACCTCTCACAGTCACAAAAACTACTTTGTGAGCAGTGTAAATCGTCAAGACGTCAACGACAAATTGTCACTAACCTGACTGAAGTCACCATTCGCCCGAGTCGCACCCCTCCCTAGTCTCTACTGCACACAACTCGGCAGAGCCCTCAATGAAATCTATTTGAATTCCACAAGAATAGAGGCACTATACCCTGAAAGCATCAACTCTTGATTAATAACAGGGTATTTCTCCTCGACCTCGGTGCAAAGTATCACTGGCTAGCTCTAGTCTACCGAGTTCAGAGATCGACTGATGTCGAACCAACGCAGCTCAAAGTATTAACACTCAAAGAATAGGAAAACAAACATGAGCAACTCAACTGAATAACACACGATACCTTATCATTTGTACAAAAATCACAGCCAACAACAAAAAATAGTATAAACCAGCAAAAATAAACTGAATAAATTTAACTCTTAAGCGATGTCTGCCACTCAAGATGGCGTCTAGATATTAACTCGACCGATGACTGTGGCGCCATCTACCGCTGAAGTCCAACAAACCACGGTAAATAACCTGAATGACCGGATTACGGTTAATGAACTTCGAAAACAAACGTGTACTGCACATTTTTCGCCCGTTTTTTCTAACAGTGAGTACCTCAAAGTCATATCAACACTTATCGAACTTAATTAATCTGATGATTACATCTGATAGCTTAATTAGAACTTAATTACAGTCTGATAACATTTCGAATATTCTTCAAACATTTCAATATTTCCTTTCTCAGTAGAAAAAGAACTCATTTTACAAATTTCCTGCAGGAGACTATGTATATGATGGAAGCATATGAAAGTTGAGAATAATATTAAGCTGAATGCTACACTTGCTTTAGAGGTATGGACATTTTAATTAAAACTCTACACTTGCACCAGAAGGCGCGTAGTTGCAGGCGCGGGCACTCGTTATCTCCACCGGGCTGATAAGCGGCCTCCTGCTTATCACGCTGCGCAGCTCAGCGAACTCAATGAACCAAAATAAGGGATTTTTAGGTTGACGAAAACTTATTCCAAGAAATTCATCTTGAACAAATTCATTTGATGTCTATAAATTGAAATAACTGAAATATTCCGTTCAAAACATGCCGGGAGCAATGAATATTTTAGGGAAAATTTAATTCAAATATTCTGGCTGAGTGGCGACAAGATATAAATCTATTCTCAACAAATTTCCAATTAAAACTTTTTCTGTATTCTCGGCTTAATGGAAACTGTTTCTGCTTATACTGGTTACTCTAATAACTTGAATAACCGCTAATTGAATTTTGCACTGGTTGTGTGACTGACGTTCACTGCCTTATCTCAGCTGATCAGATGGCCGCATTAGGCTGTACGCCAGCAGGATCCTTGGCAGGATTGTCAATTAAAAGGAGCTATCTTTTTTCCACTACACCACGGTTGGTAAAACGTTTTATATAAGAAATTGAGGTCCTAAAAACGTTCTAATGTCGCTCAATCACAACCAGCCTGACGAAGTTCAAGATTTTATGAATTTAAGTGCTACAAGGGCGCGTCTGCCGTAGTGGAATTTATGGAATAATTAATTTATTTTTTTGGGTAATTTATGGAATTATAATTTATAATTGAAAAATGTTTGTAGTTATTTCTGAGAGATTAAGAGATAAATGTCTATAATTCGCCTCCTGTTAATTTAGAGTATTAAGCAGCAATCTATAATTAAAAGTTTACCGTTACTCTGAGAGAACCACGATAATCTGATGAATATTCCATAATTTTAATTCCAGTATATGGGCAGCACTGAACGGAACGCGTTGGGGCATGGACCGCGGGGCAGCTCGACAGGTTGTGGTTGGGTGCTAACCAACACACCCGCAGTCTCCCGGCTCAGTCACCCTTCACCTACCCATTTATTTCTCTTACCCTTTTTGTTTATTTGGCATTTATTCACTTACCCATCATCACGATCTTATTTCCAAATCAAGAAAATGTTGTTTATGCTATTGATCTTGTTTTATTGCCAACTCCGACCCCCATCCGCAGAGTTTTCGTCAGCATCAGTTCAGCCGTTTCTAAAATAAAATTAGCGGTAATAACTTTTTAAATTCAACTCGTAAAATCTCTCAAACCTAGACATTTATTCACTTTAAAGCGTCAAAAAGTCTTTTATAATTACACGAGTATCAGTTCAGCCGTTTCTATAACAGAATTAGTATTCAGAACTTTTTAAATTCAATTCAAAAGTTCTCCCAAATCAACAAGTTTATTCGTTTTAAAGCGGTAAATAGTCTGTTATAATATCGCTAGACTCAGTTCAGTCGATTCTAAAATAGAATTAGTATTCATAACTTTTTAATTCAACTCGAAAGTTCAACCAAACCTGAAAATTTATTCACTATAAAGCCGCAAAAAGTCTTATTATTTCACGATAATCAGTTCTAAAAAAAATATCGATATGTAATCGATAATCAGTTTCTAAATAGAATTGGCATTATAACGTTTTAAATTCATTTTGAAAGTCGTCCCCAACTTGGAAATTTATTCACTTTAAAACGGCAAGAAGATTCTCTAATTTCACTAGTATCAGTTCAACCGTTCCAGAGATAGAAGTTTTTTTCTAATTTTATAAATTCATTTTGAAAGTTCTGCCAAACCTAGAAATTTATTCACTTTAGAGCGATAAAATGTCATTTTTAATTTCATGAGTATTAGTACAGCCTTTTCTCATATGCAATTAGTATTCATAACTTTGGAATCAACTCGAAAGTTATCCCAGAACTAAAAAATTTATTCACTTTTTATTCACTTTAAAGCAGCAAAATGTTTCTTGTAATTTCATGAGTGTCAGTTCAGCAGTTTTTAAAATCGAATTAATATTAATAACTTTTTAAATTTAACTGGAAAGTTCTCCCGAACCAAATATTTATTCATTTCTTAGCTGCAAACGGTTTGTTATAATTTCACTTGCACCAGTTCAGCCTTTTCCATAATACAACTAGTATTCATAACTTTTCAAATTTAACTCGAAAGTTCTCTAAAACTTAGGAATTTATTCACTTTAGAATGGAAAAAAGTCTGTTATAATTTCACAAGCAATCAGTTCCGCCGTTTCTAAAACAAAATTAATATTAATAACTTTTTAATTGAACTCGAAAGTTCTCCCAAACCTAGAAATTTGTTCACTTTAAATGCGGCAAAAAGTCTTATAATTTCACGCTTATCGCTCGTCTCACATATCACCTGTAACGGATCACATTTGTTCAGAGCTGCAGACCCTGGCGCGACGCCCCTGAGTCAGCTGGCACTAGCGGGGCTCCATTCATTCAATGGATATGAAATGTTGCGAGGAAGCGGGTATGTTGCTAGGGCAAGCGATATAGGTATGTGAGATAGAGCTTGCTTTTTTCTACATGTGTTGAATCGGGATGAGTTATAGAGTAATTCAGAACCGATGATTTCAACATCAATTTATTTCTGATGTTTTTTCCTAAGATTGCTGTTAAGAAGTATCCACGAGTTATATTATATTTTGAATTATTTATGATTGGTTACGAAATGGTCAAATAAAATAGAGAAGTAGCAGATTACAAGATTGAAAATTTAATTGTCAACAATTCGACGACGATGTACCTATGTAGTAATGACTACTATAACATGAAGTCTACTTAATAATGCGATGTATCAATAATGTCACAACAGAAAATTTTCGAACATTTTCGGGGTACTTGGCAGTAGTTGTGTATTACTTTTCAAACATAAGTAAGCATAACTAAAAAATTGAGAAAACGTTTAATCGACCGGCAATAAATAGGACCACTAAACTTTTTTAGCAACATAATATTTGTGTTTTTTCCATCTTCTTAATAATATACAAACTTTGAGGTGCAATATTTAAACACAGATGAACGACCGAATGTATGTGTTTTATTAATTATTTACAAATTAATAATTCGTTATTCGATAATTCGACGAGGTTCGATTCAATTAAAATGGCCATACTTGAAACTCTTAATTTAACATTTTCGTTGCATGTAGTTTCTCCAACGCCCAAAGACGGAAGTACTTCGTAGAGCCTATGAATCTATAAGCGCTTAGTCAGTTTTAGCCGTTCGCATTCCGTTAATCATTTGCTTTTAATTTTCAGGTATTTTCATTTGATTGGCCAAGAGAAAATTTGCGAGCAAAATGACATAAAAATGACGACATAAAATGGACTTTACGAGACCCACTGGCGGTCAAAAAATGACATGCGGATGACGAGTAATTGGAAAAGTGGTCCAGCAAGAGCTTTTATATTTCGCTCCTTACACCACATGGCTGTTTTCTGACATTTTTGTGTTATTATCCGTCTTTGTAAAGAATTAGCCGATCTGTGGGCAAAGCTGGGACTACAAAAATATTGTATCGTCTTCACAATCAACTTGTAACATGAGATAAATCACAGCAGTGATTACATTTTATCCAAACTTAAGTTGTTGTTATGCTGTGTGTGCGTATTATGCATATATGATATGAAATTACTAAGAAATATTTCACGTGGTTATCAGATAATCATGAGTTGTTATAGAATATATGGGGCTTTTCGTCGGGCATGATATCCATTAACCATCTAATTGAATGAGATCAGAGCGCCGATATATGACCTTAAAACAGTTTTTTACATTACTCTAATACCCTTATTGTATAGCTTCTAGTGAAATTCAGGCACTAACACACCACAACTTTTGAAATTTAATCAGCCATGGGATGTGCCATGAAAACTTATTTATGTACATTTTAAATACTTTATAATACACCCAATAAATTGTAAGAACTGGCACAACAGTTCTGAGGAAACGTTTGAACTGCGGAGGATCCATGAGAGCATTACAACTGAACGGAGGCCTCATGTGTCTGAGCATTATTAACGATAACGTTAATAATGCCTAATATGTCTCTGCCTTATTCAATATGCCCAAATAACTACTGATTTTTTTTCTATTTAGAAAGAAAGTAATACCATCTTCCTACTAGCATAGTGTACGTATGGGACTTTCTTGTAGGCTAGTCTTTTGGGAACGTTTACTAAGCTATTCCAAGACGCGCCATCATGGCAGGATAAGAAATGAACATTCCATGACGTACGGGTTCTAGAAAGAAAATCACATGAAATATTTAAGAAAAATATACAAAGGATTCATGAAATGTCGATGTATGAACCAAGACATATCAATAACAATGAAACGGGATAATCAATAATTTAAGTAATCAAATAAATCTAACTGACCGAATAGCTTGGTTCCTAGGGTACTACTGGCTTCTATAATCAGGAATCGTATATCAAATGAATCATTTACTCTAATCAAAGGAATGAGAAAGAAGTAGAATGATCAAATTAAACTGAAGCAAATAATTTTCAAATCAATTGTTCACCCGAGGCTTTTACTTTTACATAAAAGGCCACTGTGTACGAAAAATATCACATCTAAATACATCTCAGAAAAGTCGTTTAAGTCTCTTGTGTTGTTCGGAAATGAGATAAGATGACGAAGCTTGTGATATGTTTTGGTACATGTGTGTTCACTTGGCCTGTGTGAATTTTTGTCTGTACCAATTCATGACTTCATCTCTCTTCCTAAAGTGGCGACGTCACGCTTGCAAATATGCGCACAAGGTTTGTTGAGAATATTGGCGATTGGTCATGTGTGTCTTCTGCAAGACGAAGGCACATGAACACAATCATTTCTTCACAGTCACTTCAAATTTAAATACTTTTCCCGACACAACGCTCCACTTGTGGATCTTAAATAATAATTTCACAGCAAATTAGAAAACGGATAGCGGCATGCATGTTGACAGCTGATAGCCTTTTCGTTGGCACTCCCCTTCTAAGCAGTATTCACTTAGTAGCATGAGTATGAAGACGAATTCGTGCAGTCCTCATTTCATACAGACTCCTCTGGTTCATGGTGTTGTGGGAGAGTTTTCAACATATATAGGCTATCCGCCACCTGTGGGCGCAATAGTGTTTAAACTAAAAAACGTGATAACTTTTTGGGTGCCAGAAACCTCTATTAACTTTAATGGATTTATTGGGTTCTAAAACGACATGTAGGCAACAAAAGATTAGGACCAAACGCCCACCTGTAACATACGACTTAGTTTCACACAAGTAAACCCTATTGCCAACTCCTGATTTTTAGCGCCCTCTCAGTTGTTCCTCCTACAATTAAAAATTGCTTTCCATGCTCGGGCCGGTGAATGTTCGACCTCCACAGCGAGGCCGGGAAAACAGACGTCCCTGGAGTCACTTCGTCAACTCTTATCGCCAATGTTAGAGCTCCGTGTTGGCGTCGGATTCACTTACGCAACCCTCGCAGTCATTGGCCACCACTTAACAGTTCCACAGGTTTACACGACAATATTTTCATCGTCACCAAGTCTTGTACCCAACTATGAGCAGGTGGCTTTCTTCCCACAAATCCTCCGCTTCAGCAGGAAGGTCGGGAAAATCTTCGACGGGAACAAGCCAAAAAAAGAGAGGTAACGACGGTGCCCACATCCACCTGGAATAATCACTATACATATACAGGAAATTATATGTTCAATTTTAACCTTCCACAGTAAGAAAACCAATGGGGGTGTTAGCCAGCATATATCCAACAATTTCACGTTAGGAAAACGACAATTTGACCACATTCACATCTCCACTGCGTATCTCGAGCAAACTACTGTTAGATATATCTCTCGGCAATCCAACAGCGTGAACTAAAGTCAACCGTAGAAATTGCATCCTACGAGTACAAGTTAACAGGCTTACCCGCCACTGAGTGAGGCCAACAAGAAATAAATTAAGCGATGTGAATTACGAGACAGAAAACGGTAATTCTTCCCGAATAAAATCACGGGACGCTTCTCAGCGAGCACCCAACCGCCGGTCATTAAAAAGGACCCGGAGTGAATGCAACGATCTCCCAACGTTAACAGCGGGAACCTGGTCAACAAAAGACAAAAGTATTGCGCAGCTACAATGGAAGTGTCCGGAGGCACGTTTATGCGCCTTCTGACTTATTATATATTTCTACCTGAACCTGAGGACAGGGATTCGTCGACTAAGTGCGTAGGGATATGTAAGACACCATCTGTCTAGAGAACTTATCTTAATACGGGGTTTTAATACATGAAAATTATAATAGTGGTATAATGCTAAGACGGCGACCGTTAGGTCGGAGCATTTCTATCGCGAGTTACATTGTGGCGTGCCAGTTAGTTACTGGAGGCTTTACTACACTGTTAGAAAAAACGGTCCCAGTAGCGTTCTAGTGGCCGGTCGTCCCGTGAAAACAAACTGTTTCGCCGTTTTTATCAGATATTTCAAGGATTTCTAGTGTTGAATTAGAATAAAAACGGCGACACTGTGTTTCTTTTCACGTGCCGACCGGCCACTGAAACGCCGGTAATACCGTTAACGGTAATTTTTCTAACAGAGTAAGATTTCCAGCCCTCTTATAGAGCCACAACTTCCGCCCGCTACTGAGGTCTTGATCGCGTGATCTCTCACGTGATGTTGTCCATGCTGACTCAGGTGTAGGACTTTTCCATCAATCGCTACAACGTCTAGTGAATATTACGTCGCAATTACAGATGATCTAATCTTTGAATATAACTATAATGAATATACTGAGGCGCCTGATTCACTCAAGACAGAGCCTGTTAAAGCGTAAGTGGATTGCAGAGACTGATATAGAGTGCCATTTACCGTCGTCATCCCAATTTAGCCACATATTTCTTCCGTAACTTATGTACATATAGCTAAAAAAAGAATGTAAGAGTAATTAATAAAGTAAATTGACATGAGAATAATCAATATAATACAAAACGATTCACTCTGAAATATAACAATCCCGAAAAAAGTTAATAAAGCATTTGACTATAGGCGATAAAAATATTTCTGCTTTGTTTCCGGTGCGAGTGAAGTGGCTTGCCAATTCAGAGGAATTTCCTGCTAGTTATGAAAAACCGACCGCTTTAGTGGGCTTTACTATACTAAGAAATGTCCAAAATTACTTCGGTATCAAATAAAAAAAATTGCCGAATTGTAAACTTTTACATATTCACTGCAAAATCAGTATTTTTCGTATTGTGATGACATGTAAATTATGGACACATTCATCGTCATAAGTTGTGGATCAATTTAATGTCTGTGGACACGCAGCAATAGTTTCGACAACATGGAACGTTCAACAAAGCCGAAACGACGGAGGTGCACAATTGGTCTATGTTCCTGCATTTGCTAGAAGATCTGCTCCTTTGTATGGAAAACGTTCGTCTTAATTATGAAAGATTTGTCGCTTGTGAGTATTGTGAGTAGCGTACTAAGAGGAGAAAGTTATAATTTCACAATCTGTATAAGGGAGAAGTGTTTCATGGAACGCATGTTGCGTCGATCGTGCGCTGCATCGATCATGTGTTACTACATTCGGATGTTGCGGCAATTTACTTCGCCTCTCCTGACCGCTGTTGCAATAGCCGATCATTTATTTGTGCTGAACACTTTCACTGTTGAGTTTGCAGTCATCCGTGATGTACAGATGAACCTTCGACCTGTTGGGATAGGGCAAAGTTTGAAGTGCGACATCTAAGGGTGTACTTCTGAAGGCTACCATGAGCAGTATTTTAGGGTGTACTTCCTTAATTAAACACTGCCATGAGCAGAAAAACACGAGTGTTTAACACGAGTGTTTTCCTTCTTGATGAAGGAGGCGAGTATTGAGCGAGAATATTTCACTATAAAAGAAAAGAGCATATTGAGGGAGAAGTTGTCATGACAAAAGAATTTTTAATTGTTGATGGTGATGAGAACGCTTGTGGTAGGAGCGTTGCGATGCTGGATGTGGCTGATAGCTTTCACACGGATTAAATGCTATTTCAGGCGATTTTCCACACGTCTCCGTTTGCTAACATGTCACTATATTGGACAATAACAAAGGCAGGTAGTTTCATGACACCGACACTGATGTACCCATGGGTGATAAACTATGTGTTGAGACATATTTCCAGTATTACTGAACTATCAATTAGCCTTACTCATCAGTGTGCAAGTCATCTTATCTGATCTTAATTTTTTTACTGCCCTACGATTGACGTTATAACATTTAATACATCTTAAATCGCAGCAAGTTCTCACTTACGCCAGTTATGAAGGTTTGAGATTGTTTTTGTTTAGTGGCAAGATATTGGAAAATATGAATATTTATCTAGGTACCATGAACTTGAACATTACATCTACTCAACTATCACATATAGGTTAACGAAATGTACAAGATTTCAAGGGACTCTCCAAAAAGTACAGTATCGTAGTTAACTGATCTATTTGCAGCTGAAATATATTGATAAGCTCTACACAGCCAAATAATGATGTTTGCTTCCCTACTTCCAATAACTACTCTATGGCAGCCTAGATGCAGTGAGTCTGAAAGAAAAAATCAAGCTTCCTGGGAGACATTCGCTGGGGGTTCACTGTTCACGCGTTTAGCGTCCACTATTTCTGTCACTAATCTCAACGTCATTAATATAAAACCTCTTGAACTTCAAATTTTATTATGCGTGTAGAATTGATAACTCACCCGTGAGTCTCGGCGCGCGTGTCGCCCTCGCCGCCCGTCCTGACGCGCCGCTCCTGGAGTCTCAGCAGCAGAAGCTGCACGTCTTCCGCACGCAGCTCGCTGTCCAACACCTCGAGCTTCCCAAACCTGGATATGGAAATTTTAATGTTCAAGAGTCAACATAAAACTTGAATAAATTCCCTTCGTAACATAAAACTTGTTTTTACCCATCGCACAGACCATATTCTTTTTTAGACCCATAAATGAGATTTTCTACATGACACACAATCCTTAATGATTTTTGCACAATAAACACAAACTTGATTTATTTCTATCTGGCATTAAAATCCAACTCGTCATAAATTCAAACGTTTAAAAGAAAAATGAGACCTGTCTGACTATAAATTTTCATGATCTTCAATATTTTCACATTCATAAACCCCGTCAAATATTTTTCAGTGTTTTTGAATGAGGTAACAGACTTTTGACGAGCCACAAAATTTACTCTAATTTTCACCATCTTCATCTTTCACAGCTACCGTGGAACATAATCATGTTGAATAATATTTTAACCCACTCACAGTAAACAGCGGACCATTGTATGAATTTTCATCAAAGTTATCCTTTTCAGGCGGGTTAAAAGGATGAAGTTAATCTTTTAAATCTGGAAGGTTTAAACCTTTTTTATCAGCATCTAGTTTCGATTTCCTTGTTGGAACGCTGTCGTTTAACTTATGCTTGACTTCATGGTGCTCTGAAACTTGCGCTCGTAAGAGTGGTCAATAACGTCTGAGCGTTCACGAGTTTATTTATCTCGAGTAAATTTTCGCTAAAAGTTTTTTCTCTTGCGCAGTTTCTGTCAGTAGGTACAATTTCTGTCCGGTTGCGTTCGAAATAACTTTCCGTGCCCGCGAACTTAAAATGAATTTTTGGATCAGTCATGGCTTATAGAGAGAAATTAATATTTGTTTTCCGCCCTTTGAAGGTAGTTAGGAAGGGAAAATCCATCATTCAATGTTCCAAATCGGTTTCTAAACCAGATAAACAAAATTCAAACCATTAATTCCCATACAATACAGACCGGCCCCCGTTAGGTGCAAATGAGGCTATGGTGTGGTCCACGGCCTCCCAAGACCCCTCATCCGCCCCGTCCACAATCAGTGCTGGTGAGGGCGATGACGGCAGCGCACACTTTGGGGAGGTGGTGGGCAGTGGGAACGTGGACATGCCTGCATTTATTACATCATTTAGAACATTTATTGTTTATTAAAGATATTCATCACAACACTCAGTGAAGTTTGTATCTTCAACTGGCACTGCAATTGAACGCCCGTCAACTGGCATTTGTTTCGGTAGGCACCGAAATGCCCCCCCCCCCTTGAAGCTGAATTGTGAACCGCTTCTGAGCACGCAAGAAGAAATGTAAATCAGTTGAAAAAATAGGCTTTAAAGCAGATATGGCCAACATTATGAATTATTTATCATGAACATGAATCCTTTTAATACGTTGAACGTCTCTGTAAGGCTCTAAATTATTGGGCTTCTGCAATAATGAAGCACTAAATCTGACGTAAAGGAAAATTTGAAGAAATTTTAATGAGGTTACGAGCATAATGGTCGTTGAAAATAGATAAATATACGATAAAAATATTTTTAAATGGATGTCCAAGACAACATAATTGAGGTGAAAAACTCCATTACTGTCATGTCACCGCAATAAAAACCATTTTAGCGCCAATGATCAGTGACGTTAAGTATACCTTAAGCGCTGATATGTGACAATTACCTACATTTGCACTTTTATACCGTACGTCATAAGCTCATTATATGAAATGCAGTTGAGAAGTGCATCGTAAATGACTTTCAAATCTCGGCAACTAATGTAAACGGTTGTAGCTTATTTAACTTATGAATATTTTATTAATTAATTTTATTAATAAATTTTTCATTCAGTATACTTAATTTATTTATTTTATTTATTTTAATTTATTCATTAAGTTTAAGAAGGTTTAATTTTTTACTAAAAAGTTTCTAAAACTTTAAGACTTTTTAAATGAATATTTGAAGGCGCTCGGAATAACAAACGTTATGGGCTCTTAATCTAATAAAAAGTAGCAATGACAGATGGAAAGTTGTACAATCTTATGTAAAGTGTTACTACATTACATAGGAATTTCTTATGATGCAAGAAGTATTTTATACGCGAGATTTAAAGGTCGGTATGTTTTTGTTGAGCAATTATGGAATAGCTTGTGCGGCCGCCCTACACAAAATTTGGGAGCACATCAATTGATGTTTGAAGAATAGGAAAGACTTTCCTCTCAGGGTTGACTTGGTTCTAATGCCGTCTCTGGAAGAGTTCGTCTCCACTCACTGAGGGCGCTGAGGTCCAGGGGCGCCGGCATGCGGATGGTCAGACGAGCGTTGTGGACAACTGAAGCGAGGGCGGCCACTGCAGCGGGGATGCCCACACAACCCTCCAAGTGGACCAGTCTTATTCTGGAATTATACAACAAAACCAATAGTATATCTATGATTGGGGGTTTATTGGACTGCCACAGGATAAATATGAAAATAGTTGCACTTGCCCCTACGTCACCTCCCACTTATACAGAAATAAGTGAAGTCCACTGCCAATCACGATTGTATTTTTGAAGTAGAAGCACCGTAATATGTTCAGTATGCATAATACAGGATAACAGCGAATTAAAAAGCGTAGCTTGCGACTGCAAAAAATTTTAATGTTACTGAAAAATTTTCACAACACCATCAGGGACATTTAAGGAGCATTAAACGAAGGACAACATATAGAGCTGCCTAATGAACTGATCAGCAGCTGGAATTTACATTCAACTAGTTAATCAACTAAGTGAAAAAACAGCCAAAAGAGCTATCAGGTAAATTACAGAGTTAAAATACTGATCATCGTGAAGTGCAATGCCGATCCTTCAGCAATAGTCTGGCAAATAAGTACCCAACATCTGGTATCACAACGCAATTCGAGCATGTGTTTGCATTGGTGTGTGTTGATGTAATTGCGATGTTATCTGCATAGATTGAGATGTGTTTTTTGCCTAGTGGTGCTGGGGCAGGAATATCATGCATGTAAAGATAGAAAAGGGTTGGTGAGAGGACTGATCCTTGGGGTACGTCATTCGGTATGTTCTTTACGTGTGAAAACTTGCCATTGTAGTACGAATGACGGTCTACCTTTGCTAAACACATGTTCCACACAAGTACAGCCTTACATCACGCAAGAAGAGGGATGGCTCGTACGCAACAGACTCAAAGTAACCTCTACTAAATCAACATGCATACTACTAACAAACCACACAAAGGAGCATCAACACAGACCCATATTACACTAAACAACACCATCATACCACACAGACATGAAACCAAGATTCTAAGTATCACTTACAACACCTCCATGTCTTTCGGGCCACTCCTACAGCACATCAAAACAATTGCTGCAGACCTAGGCTAAAAGCACTCAGGGCCCATACAGAATAGCAGTTAAACTGTGCAGACAGAATGCACCTGAGCAGACTCCGCTGTGGTAACCATGCCTCATTATACTCCTACAAATACCGTCCGGACAGCACTAACTCGGACCTATGCCCCCAATGTCATGCACTACCCAACTCCCCAATACCGTCAAGCATCTTCTGCTTGAGTGCCTGTTAGTACCCAGGCTACAGGGGCCATAATTCAAAACTCGCTAAGTGAACGTAAGTACTTTCGCTCTATTTTCTTGTCTATGATTAAGTGAGCGTAAGTACTTCCACTCTATTTTCTTGTCTATGATTAAGTGAAGGTAAGTACTTGCGCTCTCTTTTCTTGTCTGTGATTGGTGGATTTTGCTTGAAAGCCCGTCAATGATTGGCTGATGAACTTACGATCTCTCAACTTTTTTTTGAAAGCATAGGCCGAGGTAGGCATAACATACGTCACACAGCTGAGGTCCGAGCCCGGCTCGGGTGGAGGCTTTTATGCACAGATTGAGTTTGCTGGCGTGACCAGGACTCGGGGAACATCAACAACAACATCGCAATACGAAAACATTTGCAAGAAACAAGCTTGGGATAGTAGTGCCGGACATTAGATTTATGATTGATTCAACAAAAGTCTAATTGCGATCATGATAAGTGATGATGTCAGTGAAATATTGCGATTCATTTTTGGAAAGAAGAGGATAACAAAAATCATCTCACATGCTTTGCTTCACGTTTTTGCTCATTAGTGAATGAATCCCAAGAATCTCGTTCTTTGGAAAGTTCTCACTAAAAATAGAGGGGTATGTTCGGACTGTAATAGAAATCGAAATTGCACTAATGAACCAATTCCTTACAATAGATGTAAAATAAATAAATAAACATATAGATTATTAAAGAAAAAAACAATAATGGACACATTTGACGCACTTAAAGAAATATACTGTGATGATCGCATCTCATCTCGTTGTTTTTCAGTAGAATTTTACTCGAGTGTCTAATTTATCATACATATTTCATGAGAAACGAGCAGCAGTATCCAAGAAATAAATATGTAACAAAATATGTAACGTGTTTTATTGATTTGTTCTAAAGCCTCAGTAGTACTTCTTCGTTAATACTGGAGTGGGTCTGGCAAAATTGATACCTATAATAAGCTGGACCGTCCTCACCCCGATCTACTCGTACACTGTCAGTAGCCCCATGCAGGACAAGTGAAATAGTCTACTAGCCAGCCATGGATCTTCTAATTAAACTGGCGACCAGACCTTGGGACTCCTATGATTAAGAAATTTAAGCGGAAACATTATTTTCATTAGACACAGTGCTGGATGTTTACTCCGTCGTAGTATGGAAAATCTTCAACATAAGAGCGATAAGTACATGAAGACAGGGTTTGCATTTTAGAAGGCACGAAATTGAGAATTTGATATGAAAGTTGGTAAGATTGGGTTCTAAAGTTCTCTAGAGTATAGTATCTACGTCAGAGGTACGCAATGAACATCTAGGTGGTCAATATTTTTTCTTAGCCTCGTGATAATCAGGCTATTCGTTTCCGTTATCGGTTTCGGTTCTCCATGTGTTGTAGCTGTCGCCGGTACTGTAGAGTCCACCTCGGATTACCGGGTGCCGCGGCTTCGGTGTGTCGCATTT